GCTGGGCAAACAATACCAAGTAATCGCCAATGGCACACTTTCAACCCCCATAGTGCAAAACGCCAGAGGGGTGAATGTTTGAAATTTTTGGTTTTATGATCACCCACCCGCCCCCTATCATCTCTGAAAAGTTCATTTGTGTAGGATTTTTTTTTTTTGCAATGCATGTATTTTTCGACTATTTTCCTAGACTGTCTGTATGTATTTGGTAGGTACACTGTGTTTGATTTTTTATGTAATACACTCGTATTGATTAACAAAATAGGTATATGCATATTAATGTATGGGTTATTTTGTGCGAATTGCTCAATGTTTTTATTTTTGTTATAATGCGCTGTCATGTGATTTTTGTATACTTAGAGTTTTTGTTAATTTAATGTTTTTTTGGTTTCTGATCAATAAATTTGATACACTAATTTGGGTATTTTTATTTGCGAGCCCCTCCCTCCCCGCACCCATTTCGTATACGTTTATTAGTGAGAAATCAGCATGACTACAAATGTAGACTATAGTGGTCTAATTATTACCTAATGATTAAATAATTACAAATCAGTTTCTCTATTTATTACACAACAACTCAAATTATATTTTATCAAGTTAATTGTTTTCGAAAGAATTTATGTTGGAAAAAATCTAATATTGAATAATAATAAACATACTTTCGAGGTACCATCAATGGTAGAATTATTATCAAATACAGCTTCAGTTTAAATAAAATTGGTTTTGAGTAATAGTAAACGTGCGTTTGATTATCTAATCGCGAGATAATTATTATCAAATAAAGTCTTAGCTTAAGAAAAACTTATATTGAATAATAATAAATATACATTGATTAACAATTACTTATAAAAAATTATTAATTATTCTATCGTTGATTTAGCATTAATATTTCTGATTACAGATTACTCAAAACTATGATAGGTTTAAGAAAACCCTAATTTGATTATAGCCTAGTGACTTGAGGGTTTCATACTTCGGTTTTTGAGTAAAAGCAAATCCTTTTCACAAGTGAAAAAACATGTCAGAATTAGTAGATTTTTGAACAGACCCTCCTCAAAAAGTCATGCCGACCCCCCTCCACCCCCCTCAAACTTGATAAGTGGATTGTTTTAGTTTTTATAATTTTTCTCAAAAACAGTTAAAGATAGGAACGTCATTTTGATGCCATTCGATAGAGCACAAAATTCTGTCATACACTCCCAAAAACAGCTATTTTACGGACTCATTTAACTCCGTAAAATGCTTCTTTTTAGATTTTTTTTCTATCTGGATTTCAAAAATTAAGGAAAATTTGCAAATTTTAGCATTCTGAAGAATTCTAGAAAGCGTATGACAAAAAATAGTGTTTGTCGCACGTACTTAAACGAAGTTTTTCAGGAATCATCTGCTAGTTTGGACTCGGCTAACGCCTCGTCCGGAAACAGCAATGATAAGTCCTGAAAAACTTCATTTTAGGTACTTGTGACAAAAATAACTATTTTGGTTATCCTTTTAAACTAATTTATTTTTTTATTGTATTTATATGCAGGTAAACAATATTTTGAAAAAATCAGGAACGTATTAGAAGATAATAAAAGTAAATAAAGTATATTTTTTCCCAAGATGGAGTTACAGTTTTGCAATGCATGTCGTGCGAATGACATGTTGCGACCAATAAGCGGCATTGTTTATGTTTCAAAGTTGACAGTGTCTAAATCTATCTTGGGAAAAAATGCAGTATAAGTAAATTGTTTAACAATTTTTACAACTCAAAACGTCTTCACAGAAAAGCTAGCGTAACCTTTTACGTATTTACACCTAAGCACAGTCTAATGCATTTTATATTTTTCAAAAAGCATTTACATTTTGGGCCACAAGTTTTGCATTTAAATTTTAATAAAATGTCGAATGATATTTTTTCATTTTTCGTAGTATTTCATAGTGGCGTCCATTTATTGTTTTCAAGAGTCCATTCCCATTTAGATGGGCATGGAAGCTCTACCATAGTTGGCACAAATTACCCTCCTTGAAAAATACATCGCTTGATATGCTATTTCAACGCATGTATTGTTGGAGGTAAATTCTCAACGGTTCGGTTTTTTTGAGCAAAAAGGTGCATTTGACAAACGTCAATATCGTTGGTTTCAGAATGTTCGTACATTATGATAACGAATTTTTAAATTGAATTGTTCTGATGTAAGTTCTATTGGATACAGCACTAAACCAATGAACGTAGGTGTAACCTTCGCAAAGGTTTTTCATTAATTTTATTAGCAACTTTCATCAAGAAGTATACCTTAGAATCCTACCAGTGCCAAACTCAATCCATACGTAATTAGGGACTTAAGGTATATTTCTTGTACAGAAGATGGAAGTTGCTAATAAAAATAAAATTAATGAAAAAAGTCTGGCTCTATCTTTTATTCACTCATTGACCGGTTGCGACACCACCTCTTCTTTTTTTGGAAAAGGAAAAAAGAAGTTCTGAGAAGCTTGAGAAACTTTTGCGGAGGTTACACCTACGTTCATGGACTTAGTGCTGCATCCAAAAGAACTTACATCGGAACAACCTGATATTATTTCAAAATTCGTTACCATAGTGTACGATAAACATTTTGAAAGCAACGATATTGACGTTTGTCGAATGCAACTTTTTGCTCAAAAAAACCGAACCGTTGAGAATTTACCCCCAACAATAGATCACTAAAAAAAAGTATGAATTTCATACATCTGTCACACAAAAATTTAAGGATATCCCACAAAATATTCTGTAAAACAGCATATCAAGCGATATATTGTTCGAGCAGGATTTTTTTGGGATAATCTGTGCCAATCATGGTAGAACTTCCATGCCCATCTAAATGGGGATGGACTCTTGAAAACAATAAATGGACGTCACTATGAAACACTACGAAAAATGAAAAATATCATCCGATATTTCATTAAAATGTAAATGCAAAACTTGTGGCCCAAAATGCAAATGCTTTTTGAAAAATTTAAAATGCATTAGGCTGTGCTTGTGTGCAGAATATTGCAATTTAAGGTGTAAACACGTAAGAGGTTACACTAGCTTTTCTGTGAAGACGTTTTGAATTGTTAAAATTGTTAAAAAATTTACTTATACTGTATTTTTTCCCAAGATAGATTTAGACTCTGTCAACTTTGAAACATAAACAATGCCGCTTATTAGTCGCAACATGTCATTCGCATGACATGCATTGTAAAACTGTATCTCCATCTTGGGAAAAATACACTTTAGGTATTTACTTTTATTATCTTCTAATACGCTCCTGATTTTTTCTCAATATTGTTGACCTGCATATAAATACAATAGAATAAATAAATTAGTTTAAAAGGATATGGGTAACCAAAAATATTTATTTTTAATCATTCCTCTTATTCCACTACTTTTTTGTACGCCACTGGTAGCTTTATTTTGAAAGATACGAAAAAAGTTTATGTATCAATCGATAGAGAAAACTTTATTCTTAATTTTTTGTATCTTCTATGTTTTTTTTTGTTTTCAAGTGGTTTTAATGATATTAACATTGTATAGACTTTTTATACAATGTTATTAATCAACACGTGTCTTTGTGATTACCCCCCACCACATTTTTGTTCACGTAGGGCCTTACCTTAAAAACATAAACAAAAATAATGTCATAGCAATTATGCAGAATTTTGTGCTCTATCGAATGGCAATGAAATGACGTTTCTATCTTTTACCGTTTTTGAGAAAAATAATAAAAACTAAAACAATCCACTTATCAAGTTTGAGGGGGGTGGAGGGGGGGTCGGCGTGACTTTTTGAGATGGGTCTGTTCAAAAATCTACTAATTCTGATATGTTCTTTCACTTGTGAAAAGGATTTGCTTTTACTCAAAAACCGAAGTATCACGCTATTTTTCGGCGACAAGTCACTATACTATTATGTCGGATTTTAAATGTAATTTTGGGTCGTTATTATTCAATTTGGGTAATAAAAATTCAACAGTTTTCTCAGTGTACCATATAAAACATCACACCATGGTGCTACCGAAAATATTAAATCATTCAAGAAAAATGCATATTGGCCAAACATGGAAAGGGACGTTTTACACTACATGATGCATGCGAAATATGTCAACAAACAAAATATGACAGAAACCTCTACAAGATCCAGCCACGTTAAACTGGGTCGACGGTGTTTTATCGGGAGGCACAGCATAACTATCCGAATTAATTTCGAACGACACGATCAAGGAACAGATTGTGAACTGTTTTGATGTGTTGATTCACACATTTCAGAAAGTTTCAAAGTTGTATAGGGAACGACCCTTAGAATACATCGAACCAGCAAAGAACGAACATGTGTACGTACAATATACTGTGGAGTGGTTATTCAAGTGTCTAGGGGCCTATGTTAAAAAATGTTTGTGCAACATGTTCCAGTTCTCGGCCGATGAGATCCCTAGACACTTTGAGGACTTGTTGAACATTTTCAAAATTGATGCTGCCGCACGACGGCTGAGATACCAGGAGTCAATAGACGCCGACACTTCCCGGTACAGGCTCTGCAGAGATATAATAATCAGTGTGAACGCAGTGGCAAGTCTTGTATCCCACAACGCAGATAGGGAAATTGCTGTTGTACAGCAATGTTGACGAACACCATTCCAAGTACTTGAAAGTGGTTTTTGCGTTCGTCGCCAATAACATAGAGCAATTTCCCTATTTTTTGGTGGTATCGGAGGCCAGGCAGCATTTCTATGCGTGAGTTCGTGTGCAGGAGAAATTGTATCCGCGACCAAATTTGTGCCCTGAAGCACCAACTAACATTATTCCTTTGAAGATTCCTCCCGAGTCTGTTCCCAGCACTACTACGTCTTCCATTTCCAACATTCCTTCCACTGCCACCACTTCTTCTATTTCCAACATTCCTTTCACTTCTTCCATTGCTACCACTTCTGCCTATTCCTTACCGTCCAGACTACCAAAAGATAGTATAATCGGACCGAAGAGCAAGATTCCCATGACCGTATATGACATTGTTCCTATCTCTTCTGCTGGTGAATCTTATGCTGCCGCTACTACTAACTGCCGCCATTACTATTGCTGATACTACTACTGCTGCCGCCACTACTGCTGTCACCGCAACTACTACTGTCGCCGCAAGTACTACTGTCGCCGCAAGTACTACTGTCGCCGCCACTACTACTGTCGCTGCAACTACTACTGTCGCTGCAACTACTACTGTCGCCGCCACTACTACTGTCGCCGCCACTACTACTGTTGCCGCCACTATTACTGCTGCCGCCACTACCATTGCTGCTAGCATTACTACTGCTGCAGTAACTACTACTGTTGCAGCCACTACTACTGCTGCCACTGTTAACGAAGATCCGAAGCCAGGGCCATCAAAGTCTTCTGCTCTTCAAGCAGAAGAGCACGCGCCATTCTTTGGCAAAGCAGCAGCGACTGTCCGTAGACCACCGCTTGATCCAGCCGTACCAAGTCGTCGCCAGAAACAAACCGACAAATTATCAGGATATTTGTAAGGTAGATCCTAAGGACTTACAATTTTTGATATTGCATCAAACGCTATATATCATTAACAAAGATCGAGTATGGATAATGGATTTGGAAACAAAAAATTTCACTTCAAAGGACTTATCTATTCATTCAGTGTTACCGTTTTTACCTAAATTCGAGAAAATAACTGCGGTTTATCAGAGACCTTCCGAAGAAATCATAATTATTATTGAATCTGAAATATTCGCCATCAATGATAAAAACTTCCAGTTAATTAGAAAATCAAACGTTTCGGAAACAATTGCTGCACAATTCAACAATAGGAAAATACTAGTACTGCTGCTGCTGCTGCTGCTGCTGCTGCTACCACCGCTGCAGAATGGTAATTTGAATTAATGTGGATGGGATTGTTTTATATTATTATTTGATAGCATTGAGTTTTGTGTCCTCTACTTCTCGACCAGCGGGCCGATCCTCGAGCCAGGGAGTAGAGCTCCTCGAGAGAGCAAATTTTTCGTCTTTATCATTCTCATTTACTTTTCGATTACGTTGACAAAGACAAAACATTCGTTCTATCGGGGAGCTCTTCTCCCTGGCCCCAGGATCGGGCTTCAGGTGTTTGGTTTAAATATATTCATCACTATTTTACCTAACTTCAGACAGCTCCTCTCTACTGTGGTTCATTGACACCTGATTAGGTTCAACCCTTTCAGCTTGCTGAAGGTGACATTTGATTTTGGCACTTGCTTTTACTCGCTAAGTCTTTCGAGGTTGGTTCAGGGTGATTTAAGTTTTGCATTTTTATTTAATTTTGCACCATTTTATGGGATTTTCGCCCTGATACCTAAATAATAATAATCGTGGTGTTTATCTGCCTAGTTTTAGTGCGTTTCGTTATCTTTTGGTGCCACGTTTACTCTGATAATTCAGGATTTTAATTACTCGATTGACTGGTAAATTGAAACACGCCATGTGTGGCAATTTGATCCTTGATCGGATTTTTATCCATCTATGATAGAGAGAAGCCTGTTGTTGGTTCCAGTGTTACCTTGTTGCATTCCTGTATGCTGATTTTGCTTATTTAGTTGATCGCTGGTTCCTGCATTTCCTTGTGGTTCTTCTCTTTGTGTCGTCCGACCATCATCTGGACAAACTAGAACCCTGCTACTACAGGAAATTACATATTATTTATTAACCTCATTCCTCAATGAAAGACAGTAGATCAGGAATAATTCAAGTATGGAAAAAATGTGCTTTCCTCGATTTATTGACTCTCGAAGTTTTAATGATTAGGCCAGAGTTACCCAATTCCTTAATTTTTAATATTTGTCCTTAACTCTTAATTCTTAAAAAGTTCAATTCAATTAACATTGGTGTTTTTAAAGATTAAGAATTAAGAACAAAAATTAAGAATTAAGAAATTGGGTAATCCCGGCCTTAGTCTTTTAATATAGGGATCTAAAATAATTTTTCTTCCGCAGGGTTTTTTTAATCTTGGCTTTTCGTTCAATTGCCTTAACTGTCCATTGCACCAGCCGTCCACCTACCGTCTACCTGTAAATTGGAGACTTGCTGGATTTAGAGTAATCCACCCTTGGAGATCTATTGTGAAACCCTTCTGCTCCTTCTAGTCCAGCTTAGAGCAGCACAAGATTGCAACTGGACAGCTGGTAATTTAAAGTGTCATATTAGCGTACTTAAGGGATTTCTCCTCCAGCTAACTACAATCGTGGTTTAGTTAATTTTAGTGACGTTGCTCTGACGTCATGGTTTGGCTTGAATTTTGTTTTTGACAGCAAGGACGGTTGACTTTGACATCTATTCGTGAACAAATAACAAATAAACAAATAGAAGTTTGAATTTTGCTCAGAATTTTGAAACGTTTGAAAAATTATTGAAGGAGAATTTTTTCCTCTTTTGACTTTCACTTTTATGTATTTTAAAATGAATAATGCCTAAAGATTATGTTATTGTGCGGCAGTGTTGTGGACATGGAAATTGGAACAATAAACTTCCATGCTGGAATGCTTTCATCAATACTTTCCACTGACAAAAACTCGAATTTATGGTTTTTACTATGCTTGGATGATGACAACACGATTTCTACAAACATTTTCGCATGAAAAGGGACACTTTCGAGAAAATAGTGCATCTGCTTGAACGACATATGAGTCCTCCAAATTACCCAGGTGGAGCATATAAACCTATTTCGATCGAGAAAATGGTACAAGTTACCTTTTGGTACTTGAGCAAAGGATGTACATTGTATTAGATAAACCTATTAAGGTTTAATAAAACACAGTGAAATGAGTCTAACTATAATGAAAAGATACGTGACAATTTTCGTGACAATGACAATTACAATTTACAATGACAATACTAATCATTACAGGTTCTATAGGTAATAACTAGGTGAACACAACTAACTAATTATAGCGGGAGAATAAAACTCAAATACTTCTTAACACTCCCACCTATTTGTGTTTTATAGAAGAATTAACATTATTCAAAAAATACATTCGGATATAAACTAAAACTACAATAACATGTTTAATTTTTGAAGGCAATTGTTCAGAACAGTCTTTGTAACTGGCTTTGTGAGAATATCTGCCAATTGTTCTTTAGAATTTACATAATTGACTGAAATGTTACCTTTTTCAATTTCGTCACGCACAAAATGCACTTTAATGTCAATATGTTTTGTTCTGCTATGTTGCTGCTGAGCCTGAGCTAGTTTTATGTCTGATTGGTTATCCACATTAATTTTTACTTGTGGGAAGTTTATTCCTAATTCGTTTAGAAAAGACTTCAGCCATAAAGCTTCTCGTACTCCGAGTGATAACGCTAAATATTCGGCCTCGGTGGTAGACTGAGCAACAACGGTTTGTTTCTGACACTTCCAGGTGATCGGTGCATTCGCAAGAACAAAAACGTAACCGCTGGTTGATTTTCGTGTGTCTATACAACCTGCATAGTCAGCATCTCTATATCCGAATAGATTTATTTTTGGCGATTTAGAGAAAACGATTTTATAATGAGAAGTAAGCTTTAAATAACGAAATATGCGTTTAACCGCTTGCCAATGTTCATCTTGCCAGTTATTATAAAATCGACTCACTTGATTCACTGCGAAAGAAATGTCTGGTCGACTACACGTTGCTAAAAACATCAAAGAACCGACAGCTTCGCGATAAGGATGCTTTTTTGCACACACTGTATTTTCAGGTAATGACAACAGAATACTCGATTCCGCAGGAACTGATAAGGGTTTGGCATCACTCATTTGAAACTTATTTACAAGTCTAGTTATGTACATTTGTTGGTGAATGCAAATTATACCGTCAGATAAATTTTGTTCGATTTCAAGACCAACAAAATTTAGTTTTGAACTGTCCAAATTTACGATTTTAAACATCTGTTTCAAAATATTAATAAGTCCAGATATAGCAGTTTTTGATTTTGACATCAACAGACGACCGTCGTCGACATAAATAGCCAGATAAATTTCATTCTCAGCAAAGTGACCAAGAAATACACAAGGGTCTGTTTTTAATTGTTTAAAATCGTACTGATTTAAAAATGAAACAAACTTACGGTTCCAACATCGTGCTGATTGCTTTAGTTCGTAAAGGCTTCTGTTTAATTTGCACACTACACCGGGTTTCTTTTGGTTTTCGAACCCCGATGGCTGTTTCATATACACACACTCCGAGAGATCGCCGTACAAAAAGGCTGTTTGTACGTCGAAATTAGAAATATGCATGTCATGTTCGGTTGCCAATGCAAGCAGAATTCGAATAGAATCGTATCGTACCACCGGCGTCTCTTGATAGTCCACCCCTTTTTCCCATATTCCATGAACAATGCCATATACCTATTTTCAACTTTTTCGGAAATTTTGACAGTTGAAAATTAACTTTTTTGCATCTTTGACAGACTGTAAAACTTAAACGGTTGATTTTACAGCAAAACGGATTTTACATTCTTATCCTAGATTTTCATAAGCTATCATTCGATACTAACTTTGTATTTAACCGGAGATTAATAATTTAAGCGGAATTTTTAATCATGGATTAAATTCAAAGTTGGTGTCAAATGATAGTTTATAAATAACTAAAACAAGAATATATCATCGGTTTTGCTGTAAAATTAACCGTCCAGGTTTTACAGTCTGTCAAAGTCAATTTTCAACTGTCAATATTGCTGAAACAGTTCAAGATAGGTATATGACATTGTACATGAAATATGTCTAAAATTTTCCGCAGAATCCAGAAATGTCATAATATACAGGAGGAGTCATTTAAAAAAACATAACTTTGTGTCAGCACTACTTATTGAGCCTCCCTGTATACTGGAAAATAATTTAGGCAAGTAGTACTCATGTTTATCTACAAGTTTTACATTCAGTTTTTTCTTCGATCTCTGTTAGTATTGAATATATGGACCACCGCGCGCTTAGTAACTCACCCTGTATATAAAGTGTCTCCAAATCGTACTCACCTTTAATGACCTCTTTTAAATAACCATAATTTTTAGTTCTGAAGTTTTGATGAAATCACCATCATCCTCTACAATAACCGCATCAGGAGTGGTCTCTTCTGTAAATTCTCCTGAGAGTCCTCCATTAAAAAAAAAGGTATTTATTTTACTTTTTTCGTTAAGTTAGACGTGATTAATTTGTTATTTATTTGGTATTTGTTTACAAAGTGTTTCTGCATCATGCTCAATGCTCATCATAACTTTTTTTTTAACTGGAGTTCTGGTCGCAAGTATTTATATCCATTTTTTGACAATATAAGTCACCTTGAGTTACTTCCAGATAAATAGCAATAGCCTCAACTGTAATTCCAAAAATTGAAAGCATAGTGGCTTACCCCTTTACGGCGTTTT